CGACAGAGGGCCGCGACGGGGGGGCCGCGACGGGGGGCCGCGACGGGGGGCCGCGACAGGGCGACGGGGCAGGGCCGGGCGACGGGGCAGGGCCGGGGCGAGGCCGTGACGGGGCCGCGACAGGGCCGCAACGGGGTCGCGACAGGTTCGCGACGGGGCCGCGACGGGGTCGCGACGGGGTCGCGAGGGGGCCGCGACGGGGTCGCTACGGGGTCGCGACGGGGTGGGGCCGTGAAGGGGCCGGTACGGGGCCGTGAAGGGGCCGCTAAGGGGCCGTGAAGGGGTCGCGACAGGGCCGCGACGGGGTTGCGAAGGGGCCACGAAGGGGCCACGAAGGGCCGCGACGGGCAGCAGGGCAGAGCGCGAAACGCGCTAAGGGCAGGGCAGGAAAAAAAAAATTAGCGAAGTGGTGGGCCCGAGGAAGGAACAGTCCCAGGAGGGAACCAGCTCTATACCATGTGAAAATGAACGAGGAATGAATGAGAGAAGATGATTGCACTAGCAAGCAGTTCAGTACATATAGGAAACCCTAGATTGGGCTGTACTCACTATAGAGTACCCCACTGCAGGCTAGACAAATATGACATTCTGACAGGATTACCTCGGGCAACTTCGGGGTAGAAAAAACACGACAGCAACTGCAGCGGTATTACTACTGGCCGGAGCAGTTGAACGGCGTACAGCACCACGTGGGCTCGTGTCCTACGTGTCAGGTGATGAAGAGCTCGCGAAAGAGAAAGGTGGGTCAATTGCAGCCGATTCCACCGCCCGAGCGTGCCTGGCAGCAAGTTACCATGGATTTCGTCACGGGGTTACCTTCGAACCCTTGGGTAACGACACGGTTATGGTCGACGTTGACAGACTTCACTTCACTGCACGCAAGAAATCGATCTCAGCCGAAGAAACCGCCCGCCTGTTCATCGCAGCCGTCGTTCGACTGCACGGGATACCAACCGCGATAATCAGCGACCGCGACACGAAGTTTACCAGCAACTTTTGGAAGAACTTCTGGGAGCAGTTCGGGACCAGGCTATAGTTCAGTTCATCGTACCACCCCGAGACCAGCGGTCAAACAGAGCGGACCAATCAGACGATGGAGCAGTTGATTCGGGCCACGTGCGACGACCCAACAACTTGGAAGCAGCAGCTGCCGCTGTGGAATTCGCCTACAACAACGCCACGTCAGCGACGACGCAGCAGTCCCCGTTTTACTTGAACTATGGGCAAAACCCAACAGTGCCCATGACGCCGGGTCCGGACAACCCAACGCCACGAGCACGGCAATTCGCCGAGATTCTGCAAGCTGCCCGCACCAGAGCCGCAGAAGCAATTAAAAAAGCCAACGTCATCGCTAAACGCAACGCTGACCGCCACCGCCGCCCAATCACGTATCAGTCAGGAGATTACGTACAGCTCGACAGACAGAACTTAAGATTGCCCGTCGTACCAAAATTACGACCGCGCTACTGTGGACCATTTCAAATCAGACACATGATTACCCCAGTTACCGCCCACTTACTGTTGCCGACAGACTGGTACATCAGCCCATCATTCCACGTCAGCCTGCTTCGCCCTTAAATCCCAAGCACGAGCCAACTGCCTCATCACCGCCCGCCATCCATGACTCGCCCTGCATCGGAGCCGATCATCGAGCCCGAAAAAAATATGAGCCATCGGATTCGCCACCTCACTGGCATCAAGAGGATCGAGTTTCCTAGTTCGCTGGAAGGACCGCACGTCAACTGAGGACAGCTGGGTGTTCCTGGCCAATTTCGAAAACCACCCTGCCCTGCAAGTGTACATGAGGAGCCGGGGTTTCCGCGATATACACACACTCGCGTAGCGGAGGGGGCTTCTTGAGGGGGGGTAGTGTAAGGAATTTTCTCGCTATTTCTTACCGCGACCGTCTACATCGCATACAGCAGCAGCCGTTTTTCGCCCGTTACTGCTAACGGGGCTTCGCCAACTTCGCGCGCACTGTTTCACCAAACCTCGCTCTGCAGGAGCAGCCAAGTCGGCCTACGCTTCGGGACCAGCCCGAACCTCGCACCAGCGTAGCACTAGCTAGCTCGCACGCACCGCGTCACCGTTTGCACATTTTCGCGTATAAGTATTCGCTCATACCTTCGCTCATATTTTGTTCTCATTGAACACTCTAGTGCTATCCTCGCTACCTCGATTCACTGCACCTGTAACAGTTTTCTTCGATAGTGCAATTCTCGCTCGCTCAATTGCACTCGTAACAAAATAAAACCTTCATTTAGTTTCCGTTATGTGGTTGCGAATTACATGTTACGCAACCGATATATTATAACCACCGACCTGCCAACAACAATACCCACGCATCATCGCGGTGCTGGAAGTCGTGGCGGTGATACCAATCAGTGGTGGCCTCCATAGTCCAAGGAGGCGCGCTGGTTCTGGTGGGTGGTCCAACTGCCCAATTGAATCTGCCGTTTACAGGTCGCCTCGTGGACTCTCAGAGAAGCCGAACGAATGACGTCCAGATGCGTCGCTACGTTGTCAATCCCGTGATGTCCACGTCGGCCAATCGCATCCACAACGTTCCACCGACGTGTCCACCCACCACGATGAAGCTTTCGATACACCGTACTTTCCACGAAGCAATTTATCGGTGCACCGCTGGTGACGTTTCGCTTCGCCAACGAAAGCAGTGAAGTCAACCGCTCTTTTCGGGTCGGGGGGGCGGGGGAAATTGGGCATTGGGCAGGCAACCAGCCCCCTACCGAAATGCCCCCCCCCCCATCCCAACAACCCACTGTCCGCCACGGATATCCGCCGACGGCATTCCGCTCCCCCAGACGCGGAACAAAATCTCGACTCCAACTCGCTCTGTGCACGTGCCGGCCACTATCTCCTCTTCCTGGGCACGTGGTCTTCCTCTGTAGATCGCGACACTTCAGCAAGCCTTGGCTGACCTGGCTCGCGATAACTCGCTGTACAATATTCGCTTTGGCGGGAACATTGCCTTGAGCCTGCTCCTTGTCCCTCGAACACACCTGCAAGGTGTGCCCTAAACGTGTTTCTGGAGAATCCCTCTCGGCCTCCTCACCCTGTCCACCTTGCTGAAACGTTTTTGCTCATGGCTGCTTTTCCCTGCTGTGGTCCCAGCGCTCAGGCCATTCCGCCACAGTGGGGAGCAATGGAGCCTGGAGAGTTGGGAGGTATGGCCAGGCTCTTAGGGTTTGCAGGAAAGCCTTTTCATTTTTCAGGTTGCAGCAATCGTTGGGTAGATAAGAGGTTGGCCTTCGCACCCTTTCTATCATCCCAGGAACCTAGATCCGTCTGCTTATTCACGGTTACTACGCCCTATTGACCGAGTCTCTCAGAACCCAGTGACCAGAATTAAAAGCCATGGCAGCCATCGCTACCCTACCTCAGTCCTCGTTCGTAGTCGGAGCTAAAAGCTCATCAACGAGATCACGCAAACTTTCACAGGTGTCCCTTCAGCCAAAGACTGGCTCGCTTCCGTCTGGATTGAAGGCCAAGTCTAGTGGTCGGAAGCAGCCTGATGTGCGAATGGAGAGTGCGTCCGTTTTGGCGTACCAAAGCTCCAACGGCTCGGATCAAGTTGAGAGTTGGACCGACCCTTCCATGGTGTCCCCAGCGGTTACACAACAGAAGATTGAATCATGGCTTCAACACTCCGCTGCTGATGTAAGCTTTGTGTAATCCATTCTTTTGTTTTCTGTTTTCATCAATCAAGTATCTTATCACTGCATCTATTGCAAATGTTGGAATTTCACGTCAGTGTTAAAAAATCTGAGACTAATCTTCGCGATTCTTTTCTTTCCCTTCCAGATTATTCGACATCTCGACGACGCTCCTTTTTTCCATCTCGTTTTCGACGGGGTCCGTGGCTTCCGGTCTCCCGTTCGACAACGGCTACCACAGGGTATTGTGGATCACGCTGACAGCTGGTCGTCCGTACGACAAGCAGTCCAGAACGACGACCCAGATGGTCTCATCTTGGTTCACCGGCTCGATGAGAGCGATCTTTCCAAGAGATACGGTCAGGAGATGTCCGGAGAGCTTGAAGAGTTGGCACCGCCCTCTAATCCCTGCCAGACGAACGTGTGGGGTTTGGTGGTGTTGGGAAGAGCAAGCCACCGGCACGCCTGTTACATGCTTAAGACGACACGTTGCTCCGCGGCTTCCTCGCTATCTGCCACACGGTTTTCCATTACAAGAGCCAAGTGCTTTGGCGCTTCCGTGCACAAGCAGCTGGAGCAAGCATGGTTGAACAACTAGCTAGATCTGTTACCTGATTGTTTTCGGTAGTGTAAGTATGTATATTTTAGTCATTCCATTAGGCTTTCTCTCAGTATATGTCCTAACGCTAGTGGATAAGATTATCCGAACGCTTTTATCTTGCATATTTGAATGCCAAATCCATTTTGGAAGTCAAAAGCCCAGGTACCTGACATGCTTTAGTTGATACTTGGATGCCTTGGTGTATGTCATTGTGTTCCGGTAACCTTGTGTCCATGGCACAATTTCGCATTACGTCAATTTAGAAATAAGTAGATCGGAAATCCTTTCTGCCTTAAGAGTTAAGTAAAATAAAGCACATCTATCGCTGTAAACCGAGCAGCGTCAAGAATCAATCGAAGCATCGTGTAGCCTTGACAGATTTCTCCTTCCAGTAGAAATCTTCCAGCGCCGTTCATGCTCCGTCGAGTCACCCACCGCTCCTCCTGTCGGCAATGTAAACTCCGCGTGCGCCTCGGCAGTTCACGGCAGCCAATGGGTCGCAAGCAATCCGCGGTTCGCACCGGAAATTCCCTTCCCATCCCTTCCATGTCACTATAAATTCAGCTCCAACCACCAGTTCGACATCAACAGCTAAACCAGTCAAACACACTCAATTCAGCTCCAGTGTTGCTCCCATTAACAAGCCTTTCCTTTTTTACTGGCTTCTCGGCGACCTGAATTAGCTAATCGCAGCTATCGAATCGCATCGCCTTAGTCGGCCAATCATGGCACGCAGTTCTGCTCCGGCTGCAATCTTCACAGCACTCCTCGTCACAGGTGCGAATAGCTGATACTTTCGACTCATACAATCTTAGCTGGCGCTTTGCATGCCTGAAGAATGATATTTCCCCATCTCTGACTCATTGTTATTTTCTTATATTGTGCTCGACATGCAGTGCTCCTCGCGCAAGGAATTGAAGCAAGATTTCTTCCCACCAACCGCCTTCCGACCAACATCAAGCCATCCGAAGCAGCCGCCAAAGCAGCCGCCGCGGCCTCAGCAGCTGCCGCAGCCGCAGCAAAATCAGCGGCCACAGCAGTCGCAAACATTAACGCCAGCCCCGCATCCCTCAACTCCAGCATTTCCGACTTCGTATCGTCCCTCAATTCTTCTATCACCGACTTCGTGTCGTCGCTCACGGGAGGAATCGACCAACTGGTCGTGAGCATCAACAGCAGCGTGTCTGCAGCGGAGGCCGCGCTCCAGGCGCAGGTATCTGCGTTAAACGCCAGCCTCGCTGCGCTTAGCGACAGCCTCACGCATCTAAATTTCACGCTCGCCAGAGCGAATATCTCGTCGGACGGGATGATCGCGTCATCATCACTAGCGCCGCTGCTGACGGCCTTGAAGTCGCAGCTTTCGTCGCTCGAGTCGAAGCTGTCGGCTGAGGCCTTGAAGGCTCGCATCGACGCCCTCGCGAAGGACCTCGCCGGTTTCGCGGCAACGGCGGGGTCCGCGGGGGCGCAACCGGCGCTCATGGCAGGTGCGCAGCCCCTCTCGACGGTGGGGACTTCTGGCGCGGCGTCCGGCGTCCCTGCCGCCGGCGAGTTGGCGAGGCAGATCTCCGATCTGACGCAGCGGCTCGCGGGGATCAACGGGAACGTCAACGCGCTCGCTGGGATGGTGAACGTCGTTGCTAGCGGGATTGCTAACGGCGTGAACGGGGCTCTCAATGGCGGTGTGGACGGCAGCGCGGTGGCGAATGTCGCGAATCTTCTGCCCCAGCAGGCGGGCATGCTGCGTGCCGTGCTAACGTCATGCAACGGCCTGCTGTCTCTCCAAGCCGGCGCTGCTGATATTCAGATCCTCAAGATGTAAGTCACTCGCGCACGTTGACTCATCCACTCCGCCTCTAACTCACATTGACCAGCCACCCATTAGTTCCCCTCCCACCAGGCTTTTTCTTGCATTCTGGTCCTACACCGTCCCTTCAAACGTGCTGTTAATGATCGTGCAAACCTCCTATTCCCTTGATCACACTCTCTTTCCTTCATCCCTCTCCTCTTTTGCCTTTCCTTTTCTCCTATGCAGTGGCTCGGACTATCTGCTCACATACTACCTGTACGTAGCAGGAGTGACCAAGGCCCCAGACTCTCAGGCCATTTTCAACGGCAACCCTTGCAACACTGCTGCCACTGTGCCCCTCGCCCTGCCTGGCACGTGGGTGCCCATGAGCCCTGTGTCCTGGTCGCTGGCCAATGTTGTGAGGGCGTCAGCTGCTGACGTGGTGGATCTGCTCTCATCTCTCCAAGTGGTCACCAATGACAGGCTATATGTGGGCTTCTTTGGCCCTGACGGAGCACTATCAGGAAAGATTATTGGGGGGAAGTTTTAGAGGACATGAGAGATAAGCAATGGTTGGAACATTTTAGATACTCCAAACTCCTCATTTTTTTTTTTTTTTTTTTTTTTCACGAGGTGCTGGATCTGTCATGTTCCATCCACTGTGTAAGCAGATGCTGGGTTATATGTTATCTTATTGGAGCTATTGATGCTGCCTAATGCAACTACCTTAATCTATGTGTCGTATGGATTGAAAAGTTATGCACTCCAAGCGTTCTATGTACTTCAATTGAAATTGTGCCCCATGTTGGGTCATCTTCGTCACACTATCTGAAACTCCCAAGCGCGTAACAAATTCTGTGTTGGGCTGGGCAGCAGTTTTTGTTGCCTAGTGCCGACATTGTCATCCTATCCGTGCTGTCCATCCGTCAAAATCTCAGTACCCATCCGAACACCGCTTAACCTCTTTGTGCCAATCTACAGTGCTTCGCAGGAGCTTCACGGGTACATTGGTACTATCGAGTACAGTATTTTCAAACCCGAACCCTGCCCCTCCCCTCCCGCATAGGAGATTCGTTGCTACTGTAGTCTAATCTTGCATGTCTCCGCACCGCAACTAGAATTTCCGTTAGTGGCTTCTGTTTCCTTACAATAGCCGTTGAACAATGCGCAAGTCCGTCAATGGCGCGCCATGCATCTTTCACTGGCTTGACCCTCATTGCGCTCCTCGTCACAGGTGAAATTTACTGGAACCCTGATGGTTACGCAGTACACCGCCGCGTTTGCCGCCGCATTTGGTTGGATACATTCTTACCGTTCTAATATCGCCGACTAATTCTTTCCTTGAATGTTTACCTCGACGCTGGATTGATTCGCAGTATATGTGTCAAGAATCGAAGCATTCTGCTATTTTCTCCCAACCGACGACCTCTGTAACAAAATAAAGGCAAGCATAGTGGCCGCGGCCAACGCAACCGAAGCAGGCGCCAAGAGACTCACCGCGTCGCTCAACACCTCCGTCTCCTCTTTCGACTCATACATAACGAAGCAAGTTGGTTACCTCGACAAGAGCATCAACAGCAGCACATCCGCTACAGATGCCGCTATTCAAGACCATGTATCCTCGTTTGAAGCCAGCCTCGCTGATTTCTCCGACTGGCTCGGCAGCATCAACTTAACATCGACGGAAGCAACAGACCATGCGCGTTCAGGAAAGGCAGCAGCAGCGGCGCCATCACCGTTAGCCTCGCAGCTTCTGGTGCTAGAATCCAGCATTTCGGGTTTGCAGTCGAGTATCCGCGCTTTATACCGGGATCTCAGGCTGACAGCTGGTATACGCAACTTGCGAGGTCGACGCGCGGGGGTTTTTGCACGCGGGACGGTTCCGACAAGCGCAGCAGCCGGCGTGCGCGCCGCGTTGGTGAGGCAGAGGTTGTTGCGGCAAATTGCGGTTGTGGCGCGGAGGGCAGCGGAGGTCAATGCCGCCGTTGCTGCGTTTTCTGAGAACTTAAATAGCCTAAATGGCCAGAGGGCGCCCTAAACATTTCATGTGTGTGCAACTGGCGGAGGTTTAGAAAGACGGCTGCATTTGGGCGGGTTTCAGGGACTGGCCTCCTCTAGGATTGGGGCATGTATAATGGAATCAGTACTACTGGCCATTTAGGAAGGGCCAGCCAAGTGCTTTGGGGCATGGTCCCACAAGCAGCTGGATCTAGCCTGGCAGAAGCTGGGGCTTGTGGATTTTGTAGTGTTGAGTTGACTCTACAGTGTAGGAAGCTATAGTCTCCTGTTTGTATATTGGATTGCTAATTATGAACATTTTCTACATCTATTTCCGTTCAACATATTGATAGAATTTCTCTAGCTTGGAGGAGATCTGACTTGTGAGGGCATATTTGATACAACCTAGGTACCGTCAGCCCCCGGATAGTAGCGCCCCTGGGGGTACGGTATAAAAAAACACTGTTTTTTAGGGGGTGCGCTTATAATCGAGGAAATTTATAAGCGCCGGCGTTTATAAAATGGCAAAAATGAAATGTATTGTTTTAACATGAAATTGAAGCTTTTTCAAAAGGGGATTCAATCCACATCTAGAACGTTCGTAACCGTGCATGAAAAACGCATCAAATGGCCAATAAGGCGTGGAATCACGCCCATCACGCCTTGCTGGCCTGGCCAGATTCATCGGACATGAATCTGGCACATGCCAGCGCACACGTAGTTTCGGGTGCGACTGCCCAATCAGGGTCGCATGCCGTGCCAGGCACGACTCTGTACAACCACGCAATTGGCAGAAGCGGCAAGATTCCACTCCACCGAGGCATTGACCTCACCACCTCAGCTCCTCTGCGGGGGGATCTTGACAGTTTTCCCCCTTTCCCTGCAGAGGAACTCGAGCCGCGAAGTTGGAGGGGTCTCGGGCGAGGGTTTCAAACGAGGCTCATTCTCATCGTTTTTTTCAGTTTCCTTGTTTTCCCTCGGCATGCCTAGGCCATGGCAGGCCGTCCAGGCACTCACTTCCTCTTTAGCCGCAAACCTGCTGTTGGCAACACTCGCGATTACTCTCAGTGGCAGAGTCGCCCAGTGCCTCCTGCTCCTCCAGCGCCTCCTGCTCCTCCTGCTCCTCCTGCGCCTCCTGCTCCTCCAGCACCTCCTGCTCCTCCCGCTCCGCCTATCGTCGTCATCAACGGTCAGCCCGTTGTGCAGCTCCTCCCTCGCGGTTACTCAGCTTTCGACGCGTACATCTCCGAGCCCGAGCGCAGCGGCGACGATGAACTCGGCCCCGGTCTGTCGCCATGCTGGGGAGACGCGGAAGACTGCCCGTACGACAAATCCGCCACTGGTGCTGAAGAAGATGTTGAGTGGTGGGCGGCCGACGGTCTTCCTGAGGACCTGCCTGTCCCTAGTTTTCCCCCGCCGAATAAGAAACGGCCCCACCCCTCGAAACAGAATCGTGATGCCCGCCCCCCGTCCCCCAGGAGCAAGCCTTCAACGCACAAGCGCAACTCCTACACTTCCCAGGAGAAGCTGCAGTGGATTGCAAAGTTGGAGTCCGGAGCTGTGAGTGTGCGGAGAATGTCCCGCGACACTGGTATCTCCCGAAAGTCCCTGTCAGAGTGGAAGTTGCGGAAGGGTGAGCTTGAAGGCGCGCATGGGGCTCGCAAGCGCCTTCACGGGCGTGGTCGGGCGTCGTGGTACCGCGACATGGAGATCGAGGTGTACTCACGTGTTCTTGCCCACCGGAAAAAGTGTCTCACCGTGTCTGTCGGCCGACTGCAAAAGTGGTCACACGAGGTGATGAAGATCCTGCATCCTGATGTAAAGTGGGCTGGATCTCAGAGGTGGACTGAGCGTTTTCGACGGCGCTGGAACCTCACTACTCAAGCGAAGACCAGAATCGGCCAGAAGTTGTCGTCTGATGAGTCGGTGTTTGTGCTGACGCTCTCGTCTATGGCTGCTTACGACCTTCGAAAATCTAATTTTCTTTTTGTTTGTCTCTCCCACCCTTCCCTTGCAGAGTGTGAGACACAGGTGCAGAACTTCTGGAAGTTCGTGCGACACTCCCGCCGATAGTACGGCATCGACAACCGCTGGATTATTAATGCCGATCAAACGCCACTCTGGCTCGAGATGCCAGCTGAACGCACGGTCGAGGAGGTGGGGATCCGCTCCGTGCCCATCCGCAGCGGCGGCTATCAAAAAGAACGCGTGACGGTGATGCTCGCCTGCACCGCCAGCGGCGAGAAGCTCAAGCCTTGGGTCTTCTTTAAGCGCAAGACAATTCCTAAGGGGAATTTCCCCTCCGGTAAGCAGCTTGTGCAGTGATGGTGTCATTTGCATGTGATATGTTTTTTTATGTCTGATGCTAATCTGTCCGTACGCCTTGTTCGGATGTGCAGATGTTGTGGTCGCCGCACATCCCAACGGTTGGATGGACGCGGACGGCGTCCTCTCGTGGCTCGACAAGACGGTGAACCCGTACGTCAACCCCAGGTTCGGAGTACGCAGCAGGAAGGTGATGTTGGTTCTTGACTCCTACCTCGGGCACCTCACTGATGCTGTGAAGGCAAAATTCGGCGAGCTGAACATCGTCCCCGCCGTCATACCAGCTGGCTGCACCTATGAGATCCAGCCTCTTGACGTCGCGGTGAACCGCTAATTCAAAGCAGCAGTCCGACAACTGTACCAGGAGTGGTTCGAGAGCGAGGGGGTCGACTGCCTGACCGAAAGAGGTGAGCTCAATCCCTACGTGTACGATGTGTCTTCTCTTGACTGTTTCCACCCTGTTCTGATTGCTGTTGTGTTTCCATGTGTGGCAGGCAACATCCGCAAGCCACCTCCAGAGCTGACGCTCAAGTGGATCTCCAAGGCCTGGAAGGCCGTGCCCAAGGAGTTGATTCAGCGCTTGTTTCTCACCTGTGGCATCAGCAACGCCCTGGATGGGTCCCAGGACAATCTCTGCATGCAGCGCCAGCGGGACGCCGTCGAGGGTGAAGTAGAACTTGACGACGAGATTGCAGCAGATGGATTATGCTGCAACAACGTAGAGGAGCCAGAGTCGGACGGGGAGGCCGACCAAGATGGCTCCGCCACTGTTGACGGTGATGCATAGGATGCTAGGAAGAATAGAAATTAGAGAAGATCTGTGAATGTTGTGGGAAACTACTAGTAGGAAAAATATTATGTTGTAGTGAAAATGTCAGAATGTTATATTTGTCTAGCCTGCAGTGGGGTACTCAATAGTGAGTACAGCCCAATTTAGGGTTTCCTATATGTACTCAACTGCCTGCTAGTGAAAATCTCTCTTCTCTGTTCCATTCTTCTCGTCAATTATAACATGGAATCAGAGCAGGTCGACCTTCACAGGTCAATCCTGTAGATGGGCCCATCCAATACTTCCGCTGCTGCTACTCTGTCTATCGCGCGCCTCGGGCGCGCGCTGCCTGCTTGCCTGCCGCGCTCCCATGGCGCGCGGCCATTTTTAGCGCGCGGCGGTTTTCTGACCGTCGCGCCGCCCTGGGGGCCGCGCGACGCCCTACTCTGCCCGTCGTG